CATAACAAATTCCACTATTATGTAGAATTATAATGCATCAATTTTAAAAATACCACACACTAATGTGCATTTTAATTGTTAGTCTCTTCTTTTTGAATTTTTGGATACTCCGATGTTTGTCAATGAACACAAATCACTTGTGTTTGTATAACATACTAGATTTAACAGCATATTAAATTGTTGCATTCTTTTCTATTTTCTACCATTAATATATATAAATTTAAAATATATAATTAAATCAAATATATAAATATATATTCAATATATAATTAAATATATATTAAGTTATATAAATGAAATTTAAAAATATAGAATTTTTTTCTATCTGAAATAAATTCTTCTAGAAAACACTCATGGACACACACACACACGCGCGCACACACACACACACACACACACACACACACACAAACCAGTTCTGAAAATGTCCTTTACACGTTAAAAAGTCTCAGGGGAAATGCAAGAAATGTCAGAAGCAAATGAGTCTCCCCTGTGAGTAGGGAAGGGCTCTGGCTCTGCTCTGGGTCTTGGGGTTGGATCTGCAGGGGAGATGTAAAAGTTCTGTGCCTTCAAAATACTAAGCCTGCAGGAGAAACCCTGACCAAGCCCATGTCCCCTGCAGCCTAGGGGTCTGACACAAAAAACATATTTTTGTCTCAATACATTTTTATAAAGTCCTCTCTATTATAGTTAGAGATGAATGAGCTTTATCTCCCAATAACAGAACCAGCGTTAGGAAAAACTATTCTAGGGTATGAAAAGCGTAGTTTTTATATGAGGGTCGTTAATCACTTGGATTCTCACTGCTTGTACAATTTACACCTGTTTCGATATTTTTATTCATTTACCTGGCCCTTCCTGCCTTTCTGGAGTTCAGCATTTGAGTAATAAGACAGCTGGTAATGGGGGATGTAGCAAATTATATTTTCCAAATATGGATAAAACAATATCCTCAGTGCTCATGTTTTTCTGTGACATGATCTTGCCTTTTCCCTGTCTAGAGATAGAGCCGATTGCCTTTTCCTTGAATCGGAGCTGGCCTTATGACTTTACTACAACTAATAGAATGTAGTGGAAGTAAAGCTGCATCAAAAAAGGCCAGGTAGCTCTTACCTGGCTCTGGAACACTGGCTCTGGGGGAAGCCAGCCACCAAGTAAGAAGCCTGGCAACTGTGGGAGTACATGTGCAGGTAGGTAGTTTGGTGGACAGCCCCAGCTGAGCCCAGTTTCTGAGCCAACCCCACCGCAACACTAGGCACAGTGGAGAAGCCATCCTAGACAGTCCAGAGTAGCCCATCTGTCAGCTGAATGACATGGAGTGACTTCAGTCAACCTCAGGAGAAGCAGAGAAACTGCCCAACTGACCCCTGACCAAATCTCAACCTATGAAATCTGAAAAATACAATGAAATATTGTTTCAATATTGTTGCTGTTTTCAACCACTAGGTTTAGGGTTTTTTTTTTTTTTTTTTTTTAAAAAATTTTTTTTTTGTTGTTTTTAAAAAAACATACATTTTTTTTTATAATATATATTTAACACTTTTTTTTAAGTGGGTTTTTTTTTTTTTTTTTTTTTTGTACAGGAACAGTGACTGGAGCAGGGCCAATTGGAAGCCACTAAATGAGGGGTGAGTAGCCAAAGGTCCACAGATGAAAGAAAAACACACACAAAGGTATACACCATTTCTTGCAGAACAGCACACCAGATTCCTTGATTCATCCTCTTATTGAAAAGAACATGCTAAATGTAGCATTTAAAAGATTGTCTTCAGCTGGGGATATAGCACAGTTGGTAGAGTGCTTGCCTCAAATGTAGAAGGCCCTGGGTTCTAATCCCTAGCACCACAAAAAAAAAAAAAAAAGGGAAAAAAAATTGTTTTCAATGCATCCAAGAGCTCCTAAAACAGCCAAAACTATTTTGATAAAAAAGGGTAAATGATGAGAGAATAAAGTAGACAAACAATGAAACTGTTCTTAACCTTGAGGGCAGGTGTATTAAGCGTGGTGAACCTGAGAGGTCATTTCACAGCCTGCTGAGATGTAGAAGACAAGAGACTGCCTAAGTCAAATAAATAATCCTCCCTCTATAAAGTGGGGACCGATGGCATACTCCAAGGACAGCAAAGAAAACTGCACACAGATGTTCAATAAGTAAGGTAGGGGTGTGTGTGAGTATAGATGCTAGTTGAGAATTTGAATCCATGTCAGCCAACATGTAGGTTTGCAGCCAGAATTCACAGTCCTAAGGTAGTCTAATGTAACTCATTTTGAAAATCTCATTAAAACATACTGTTAAATGAAACAAACATTATAATGAAAGAGGTTTCTTGAGATAGAGTCTCATAACAAAGGAAAATATAGTTATCCTAAACACCTACGACACACCTGGAATGCCGGAATGAAAATTGATAGAATTATGAGAAAGGGGAAAAATCCAAATAGTAGGAGGTTTAACTTGTCTTATTAACAGATCAAGTAGACAGAAAAATAAGGATAGAAAAATTTGAATAACTAACCAGCTTGATCTTATAGACACATTTAGAATACCACATCCAGAACTGTGGAACACATATTGTTTTCAAAGATATATAAAGACATTTAAAATTATTGACCACATACTTTAAAAATCCTAATACATAAGGCCACACCCCAGGAAAATTAAATCAGGATTTCCTCATACATCCACATTTTTTAAACTCCCCAGATGATACCATTATGCAGTCAACTTGGCAAACCACTGATACAGGGTAATTTATAGCCTCCAGTGCTTATTTTAAAAATTAAGGAAGGCCAGGTGCAGTGGGCCACGCCTGAAATCCCAGCAGCTCAGGAGGCTGAGACAAGAGGATCCCAAGTTCAAAGGCAGCCTCAGCAACTGAGAGAGGCCTTAAGCAACTTGGCAAGACTTAGACCTAAGCAATTTAGCAATATAAAAAGGGTGGGGATATGGCTCAGTGGTTAAATGCTCCTGGGTTTAATCCCCAGTACAAAAAAAAAAAAAAAGATAAATGTTACTATATAGGGTCTCTAACTTAAGTTAGAAACAAACAAGTTAAATAAAGCCAGAAAATTTAGAAGAAAGGGAAAAAAAGAGCAAAAACAGTAATCTCTCTTTATCTGTGGGGGATATGTTCCAAGACCTCCATTGGATGCCTAAAACCATGGATACTGAACCCAACATATACTGTTTTTTCCTATGCATAGTACCTATGATAAATAAAGTTGAATTGATAAATTGGGTATAGTTAGAGGTTAAAAACAATAACTAATAATAAAATAGAATAATTATTCTATTACCTGAACACAAGCACTGAGGAACCTTGACAGTGGATTTGGTAACCAAGATGGCTACTAAGTGACTAACAGGTGTATACAGAAAGGGTATGTTGGACAAAGGGATGATTCACATCCAGGATGGAAGTAGTGGTATGTAGCAGGACAAATCAAGATTTTGTTATGCTACTGTCTGGGAACAGTACACAATTTAAAACATACGGAAATTTTCATTTAATATTTTTCATTATTAGTCAATTGAAACCCTAGATATAGGGAGACTTCTGTAATTTAGAAAAGAAATATAACAGAGATTACCAACAAAGCTAAGTCACCTTACCCCTTCCCCTCTAAAATTAATTCCAGGTAAATCAAGAAATTTAATGTGAAAAACAAATCAACAAAGGTCTAGAAGACAGTATGGGGGATATATTTATGATTTTAGAATGGGAAGAATTCTTTTTGTTCTTGCTAGTACATTTTAGTTATACATAATATTGGGGGTTTATTTTGACATAATCATACAAGCATGGAATATAATCTGTTCTGTTTCAGTCCCTGGTGTGTCTCCTTCCCCAGCCTCCTTTCTTCACTCTACTGATCTTCCTTCTATTTATTTATAGTTTTTTTAAAATAAGTGTTTTATAAATACACATAAAAGTGACATGCACTGTGGAATATTCATATATGCACTAGCATAATTTGATCAATTTCATTCCACCATTTTTTCCCATCCCTCTCCCTTCCCCTTCAATCTCCTTTTAATGCTCCACTGATATCCCCTCTATTTTCATGGGATCCCCCACTTTTCCCTTATTTTCATCTAGCTTCCATATATGAGAGAAAACATTATTTTCAGAAACAAAATCATAAGCCATTAAAAAGTCTGTTGAAACAACCATCTTAAGGCATCCCTTTTTCATCAGAAGATTCCATAAACAGAGTTGAAATATCAAAAAATGGGAGAAGATACATATTTACTTGTAACATATATAACTGGAATACATGAAAATCCTCTGTGACTCAACAAGAAATTGACTACCCAAAAGAAAATGGACAAAAGACAAGGCATTTCACAGAAGTGGAACCTTAATGCCCAATAGACATACAAAAAATAGGTTTAACTTCAGGAATAATTAGCAAGAGGACAAAGCCCAAGCACAAAGAGGTGCTATTTCATGGGTGTGGTTGGTGGGTTGAATCTAGTCTGCTCCCTGTCTTTGTAAATAAAGTTTTATTGGAACATACACACACATCTATTCAATGACATAGTGTCTATGGCTGTTCTCATCCTACAATGGCAGAACTGAGAAGTTGCAAGAAAGATTGTATGATCCATAAAACCAAAAATATTTACTCTCTGGCCATTTATAGAAGAAGTGTGCCAGTTTTCCATAGTTAACATATCTCTTTAGAATGATAAATTGAATAACTTATATTTTCTAAGAGAAAGGATAAACCCTGGTTCTGGGAAAGCCCTGTTCATCCAGGTTTGAATGAAGACAGGTTATATGGTAACCAAGGACTAGTTTTCCTTGAGATTTACTCGGAAGAACTATATTACTATTACTAAATACGTCATTTAAGCAGTTGAAATAATCAGAGACAGAAAACTGTTGGACTACTGGTTAAGATCTGGCCCTCTAGGATGACCAAGTGGAAGAGGGGTGAATATGGAGCTTTGGGGAAAGCAGTGTGATCAACATCAACACCACTGAGAGTCTTGCCTTGTCTGCAGGTGTCAACCTGGCCCAGGGCTTGTCTGCCCGGCGGTCATAGTCGGGAGAATCGGTGACTTCTACATACTCGTTAAACCGCAGGATCCTTCGAGCTTGTAGCTCTGCCACTGTGGGTCTCAGGCTGAGCTGCAGGAGGAAAGAGGGAAAAAGTGGAGATCAGTAAACCATTTATTGCTTCATGGTGGCAAGTTTTCTATAGAGAACACTTCAAAGTTATGGTTAAATAAGGTCACTTTCAGGTATCAAAAAAAAAAAAAAGGCAGCATCATCTCGGGAATTTGTAATGAGAACTAGAAAGCAGTGTGCCCTAATTTTTGAGACTATAAAAAATCATCATTGTTAGATAGGTCACATCTTTGACAACATGAGTATTATACTATTTCCCTCAACTTGTCTGGCATGGCGATAAAGATTTATCTGTCACCCATACAAGAAACATGCAGACCTGACAGTAACCCAGCTTCAGGATGGCTGGGTTGGTGGCTGAGTAGCCTAGACAAAAGCGGTGACACTTTCAGAAATGAGAATAAAAATCTGTGCCCCTACTATACCAAACCTATATATTCAGAAATGCACAAAGCTATGACACAGAGCAGTCTGGAGAAGGGTCTGCCTACAGCACAGCCCCTAGACAGAAGGACCCTCATGCTGACATTTATCCCCTGCCATAAAGACCACACTCAAGATGACGAGGGAGTGTTGCTGGAGAACTGCCCTGCCGGCAGCCTTCATGACTCCGGTCATCACCGAGTTCCTCATTATGGTCTTTGTCCAATTCAAATTTATAATTATGATGAATCTTGCCAACCCTGTGGGTATTTACTGTCCTTTCTTGGTCCTTTCTAAAATCCCAAGAATAAGACCAAAACAATTCTGATGGATGAATGAAACCTAGCCCTTGGTTGACAGGCATTATCTGCTCTCTGCTATTGAGAGTCAAAGCCTTTGGAGGCTTTTTCCAGTTTGGAGATCTCATAGTATTTCCAGACAGGTGGACTTAGACCTCTATTATACTTAAAGGGCTTATTTTCAGTACCTTTCCTCACTTTATGTACTCTGTGTATAGCCAGACACTCTCCTCTTTGGACACATTCTTTACTTGCTTTGGCTCAGGGATGTGAACTGCGTCTGCGCTCTACAGTGAAAAAACAGGCCCTTTCCTGGTTCTGTTTCCTCCTGAGAAAAACCAGGGATGGAACTGCATTAGAGCTCTAATACTGCAAGGATTCAAGGACTCCAGAAGGTCTGGAAACACACCCTGAGCTCACTGGAGCTGGGATAGAGCAACTGTAGCTCCTGTCTTCATGTAGCTCTGACAGGCAATGGATAAAGGAGAGAATAATCAAAGTGGTGCGGTTGCATCCTGAGACGCCACATAATCTATACTGCTAGTATTTTTGCCTTTCTAGAGCAGATGAAAATAAGGAGGAAAAGAAACCCTTGTGCCTGAGGACTGGTCAGAATGCAAGTCCACTGGTCAGTGGCCACACAGATCAGAAATTCTCCACTCAGTCTTCCCATGAGAACTGTACCAGTCATGGGGTAGCTCCCAGGATTTACAGGATGACTTTCAACTTATGGCAGGGAGTACTGTATGGTGGGGAAAGGTGGGGAGGTGCTTCATGGAGGGGCCAAGGTGGATTGAAAAAAAGGCTCTATATATTTCAGAACTGAGCCCAGAGCAATGCAGAGGGGCGACCCCTTGTCTGTGGCTGGTAACTTAAGGGCCACTGAATGCTAGCATCATCATCCCTAGAAATTAAATTTAAAGAGTCTTTCAGCTTGAGCACTATTTGACATTTAGAAGCTTTGAGGGGGAAAAAAAACCAGAGAAATGAACTAAGGATATTTTCTTGCAAGGGGAAAAAAAAGCCTAAAACTTTCCAAATCCAGTCCCTATAACTTTTCCACAGGAGTGGAGTGTTTCCTGAACCGCCTTAGAATGCTTTTGCTCTGAACTCCCCAGCCAGCCCTCAAAAATGTGGGTCAGGCCACACACTTGACTGTGGTGCCATATTTTAGTCACCCTGCCCTTTTCCAGGTATGAAAAGTATATCTGAAGAATTATTACAAGGATTTATAATGAAATACATACTTGGAGAGTGCTTAATTTCTCCAAATACTATTATTTTAACATAGAAAAAAAAAGAGTGATGGCTCTGGAATCAGATTTATATTTTCATAAATAAGTGGAAACAATCTTCTGAGTTTTAGAGCCATTTGTCGATTTGGGCAGTACTGGCAAACAGACTGTTGGACAGTCAAACTCACATAGTAAATTACCCAGTTCTGATATGGAATAGTGGCAAATCTTCATAGTCACAAAATACTTTTTTAATATTTCCAAGATGACATGGAAAGTGTGAGCATTTTTTAAAACTATTTTTTAAATGGAAATATATACATTTAAGTGTTAATAATGGTTCTTGGAACAGCAGATTTTTGTATAATAGTTACAGTGTTTTGTTCCTCTTTGTATTTTAAAAATATTTTTAAATTTTTACACAATATATTTTTTTCATAGTAAATGCAATTTAAAAACCTTTGATTAATAACTTTTTGAAATTAACATGTAAATTTAAGTGAATTCATTTCATATACATTGCATTGGTTTTAGTGTCTACAATTACTTAGTAGACTAATAGGAATAATTATTCCTCAACATCAGATTTGAAGAAAGTGGATATATATTAAAAAAAAAAAAAAAAAACACAAAGTATATCCCACAACATGAATGCTCATTAGCAGCCACACTGTCATCACCTTTCGGCTGAGCCTGCGTTTAAGTTCCATTTTTGCTTCTTGTTCTTCTTCTTCATTCTTTTCTGTTTATAAAGGGGGGAAAAGGCAAAATGACTTAGTTACTACAGATAATTTTACAATCAGAAAAGTCTACCAGGCCACAATTACTAGAATCTACCTGATACTGGTTGAACACTTCATTGATATCTTTAAAAAGTTGTCAAAAGATTTTGCAGAAAGATCAATCACACACAGACACACACACACACAGACACAGATACAGACACACACACACACACACACACACACACACACACCCCACATGCATATATGTGTATATAACTTTTTCCTTTGCAGGATTTGTTACTAACTTTAACTTTTTTTACTTCCTGATTCCTTGTTCTATTCTGAAAATCCCTAAGACTGCTTAGAATCTGGTGAAAGCCTTCTATTGCTGAACATCTCATGGGCTTAAAAGCACAATTTACCAGAATTCAGATAAAACTTTACTTCTGGATCTGGCCTTTATGTAAAAAATCTGAGACATATTAAAAGAGCAAATTAAAACCATCCAATGCATGTCTGAACTGCTGCTTTCCATTCAAGTCCAACCAAAATATTTGATCTGTCTTCCTTGGTTTCCATAGAAGCCGAATGTAAGCATTTCTTTGGGCTTTACTTTCAAACCAGAATGTTCTGAATGGGGTTATGGTGTACTGTGGGTAGAAATTATTTATTTTCTTGTGACTTTAACTTTCCAGAGTCTTCTCTTTCTGTAGTGCTTCACCAAGTAGTACAACTTAATGCTGTCCAACAGATGGGATTTTAAAAAAAGTTCAGAAGTTTTAAAGAAACAAACACCCTTTCAGCTTTTATCGGGTGCTTATTTAAGGAACTTCTTTCTTGCTTCCTGGAGCTCATCCTCTGGTGGACAAGTAAACACAGATTTTACTTTTTAGATACTAATGCTTATCAAAGATCATCTTTCAGAAAATGATGTCATGAATTCAATGGAAAGAAAGTCACATTGTATAAGGAATCAACTAGAAAGCTGAAGAAGACAAATCTCTTCTATGAAAAAAAAATATATATTTGTGTGTGTGTGCGTGTGTGTTGCTAGGGATTGAACCCAGGGACTTGTGAATGTGAGGCAAGCACTCTACCAACTGAGCTATATATCCTCAGCCTTAATTATATTTGTTTTAAGAATTCAAATAGACTTCCCATCATTAAGATTATTTGTATCATGAATAAAATATTAGCATTTAATATTTGCAACATCTATATTTGTTAAATGAACAGGGTAATTCTTTCTCTCTCCCTCTTTTTTTTTTTTTTTTGGTGGTGCTGGGATTGAACCCAGAGCCTTGTGCATACGAGGCAAGTACTCTACCCACTGAGCTATACCCCCAATCTGAACAGGGTATTTCTATGAATTTTCCTCCTTTAGATAGGAAAAAGTTTCTACATTCTTCTGAAACACTAATTTGTAAGAAAAAAGATGATCAGTCTGGTGATTTAGACAGTATAACTGAATATAACTGAAATCACCCACAGGACAAAAAATGGATAAAGTGCCTGTATGTACCAAACAAGTTTGATTACAATTTAATTTCTTTACCATGAATACACTGTAGGTTTTTCATATATGAAGTGAAGCATGTATACTTACTCTTACAATATAACATAGGTTCAAATGATTACCTTATATGAATTGGATAAAGTTTGTGGACTATCAATTATACATAGACAAATGACAAACTTATGGTTTATGTGATTGAAATCAGAGTTTTACAAGGTGAGAGCTTTGATAATATTATTAATAAAAAGAAAAATATAACCCTTAGGACATTTTAGTCAACTCTTCCTACCCAGCCCTTATGCTATATATATTTTTTAAGGTACTTTTCAAAGACTTTTTTTTTTTTAATCTAATACACCTCAAAGCTAACATACTGTGATTTTCATTTAATACATAAAATGACATTTCTTGGAAGGGAATATTAGTTAAGGCCATTGTACCACTAGGTGACAGCCAGTGATTTTTTTTTTTTTTTTTTTTTAAAGAAAGCCAGTTGCAGTTGGGGAATTAAGTAAACAGGATTTTACCATCTGGGAATTCTTTTCTGACATCAGGAACTGGCTTCCTTACGTTTCCCACGTTGGAAATTGTACTTCTAAAGAAATTAGAGGAAGCGGGTGAGGTGGAGGGAAGCCAACTAGATCATTCTTCTGCATCTTATTGAAGAATCACTGTAAAATCTCTTGTAAAGAGTCAGGGTTAAGCCTTAAGCTTGGTATTTAAAAAGTCACCTTGTTTTTTGCAATGTTTCCTTCACTCTTTGATTCATCAGAGGACTAATTGTAGAGCAAAATGTAAACTTTCCTGGTCACTTTAAACAAACAGAGGGGAATTCATGAAGGAAGTGATGGGGCTTATTGATAAATCCTGCTCTCAGTACCTCTCATCAGAGCAGAGGGGCGGACCCTTCAGACAGCCACAGGAAACATTTCCCATCAACACACAAACAATGCCTGGGGTCTAAGAGCAGTGGGCACTACGGAAACTGCCTGGCTAGTGGGAGTTGCCTGAGCATTTTATGGATGAGCTAAGAAAAGAAGAAAGAAAAGTACAGAAATACCAGCAACTGGAGTATTGTTATATTCTTGAGTCATTAATTCAGACAAAATGAGCTAAAAAAAAAAAAGCCACATTTTTTTGGTTGGGTTTTTTCTCTTTTTGCTTTATACATGCTTCCGTGGGAGTGTTTTGAACAAATGAAATATACAAATACACATAAAAATTTGGTCTATGTAATATATATGGCATATATATGTGTATATGTATGTATATAGCTGGATCAGTGGATGGACAGAAATCAAGGAAGGAGTGAAACGGGACATGACCCTAAGAAATCAACTTGTCCTGTGGACTCTGATGAAAGCTATCAGCATTTACTGTCAGCTCACTTCATGCTTATTATAGCAGTGATGGTTTCTGATCTGAGAAATGTTGAATGTTTTATGAATTAGTTTCCTACTCTGTCATGAAAAGAGCACCTAGTTAAAATGTGTCTTAAAAACAATACCATATCACACATAGATTTTTCTTGGAACAGAAGGTCATTGTTGCTGGAGGTGAAAACCGGGGGTAAAACATACAAACAAGAACAGACAGTGTGGAAGAACCCAGAAGCAATGGGCTGAGCAGAGTGTTTTGCAAATGAAGCCATTCAGTCCCTGTGACTACAGTGGAAAGCTTGGGAAAACTGGTGAACAGAACTTCTACCAGTTCTTGTCTGCTTCCCTTGGCCACAGCATCCTGTGTCAGGAGATCATGAGCCAGTTATCAGCCTCTCCAGACTGGAAATGTGCCTTTTGTTTCCAGAATCAACACGAACTTAGAAGGAAGCAAAAAGAGCTGGAGTCAAATCTGAAGTTGACTTTGGTGTTTCACTCTTTCCCAAACCTCCAGGAAAACAGAGGGTACTAAGCCAACACAGCACTTAAGATCAACATGCAATAAATTTCCGGATCCATGAAACAGTTCCTCAAATAACCAAACTCCAGTGTGGTTTGGCACATTAGTCTCACAGGAGCAGGAAAGAATTACCCAGAATTTTCTTGGCTTTTTTTTTTTTCTTTTCTAGGTATTGCATCAGGCATCCAGGGAGACCTAATCTCTGGGTTTTAGGAGCTTACAGTCTGCATTTGAGTTTATTTAAAACTTGATTCAACAAATGCTTCCCAGGAACCTATTATTGAAAACAGTGAAGCTTTGGGATTTTGTTTCTTTGTCAAAATTAGATGTTGTTTTCATCATTCTTCCAAAAGGTCAAAACACAAATTTATCCTTTTCTTTTTTTAACACATGCACACACACACACACACACACACACACATATATATATACACACACACACAATACCTTCATTTTATTTGTTTATTTTTATGTGGTGCTGAGGATCAAACCCAGTGAAGCAAGTGCTCTACCACTCAGCCACAACCCCAGCCCCAAATTTACCCATTTCTAGCCATATTTTTTTTTCTTCTTTCAGACTGACACTTCTATACACTGATAGGCACTTACATCCTTTCTTGGGTTCTATTCCAGTTATGCTTACAAACAACCAGAAGAAAAGCATCATAAGAAAAAGATTCCATAGACCGGAGGATGTAGTCCTCTTATATTACATCTTTATTGTTGGGTTGCTTTAGCTATGGCAACTGTAGTATAAATATGTTACAAAAATCTTTCCTTCAGAAAAAAAAATAACTTAGGCTGGAGAGCATAGGTCATCCAGCAAGCCAAGAGAACTCTGTAAGCCTGGTTGAAAAGGATCTTTCTCTCGACAGCAGCTCATTACTATTGCACTACTATCCGGGGTTCTATCTATCCCTGTTCTTTGATATTTCATACAATAAAAAGCTTTTAGAAACTGTAGTTAGTAAATAAAACTGCGTCTAGGCTCCATTTAAAAATATCCATTTCTGAACTCTCTGAAGTTAGTAAGTACATCGATACACAAGGGCAGCACAAACCTCGTTTCTATTAGAGTTCCACATACTATCCTGTCAAAGAGACTAGAAGGAAAAATAAAATGGAAAAATAAAGTAAGAAAATGAATGAAGAACTCTTTAAGGGCCAAGAAACATTTTATAAATATCTCAAGAGGGAAGCAGAGTTAGTTATCACAACAAAGGAAAATGAAATGCACTGCAAAAGTCCTCTGACCAAACTTTTGTTTTAAATTAAGTAATTTGTTAAGCCTAGCAACAATTTGTATTATTTATGGTAAGATGGGAAGGCTTGATTCATTTCCTTGTGGATTCTTTGGCCTTTTCTTTGACAGTTATTTGCCGGTGCACTACAGCACTTCTTCCACTTAATATTTGGTGGGAAGAATATAAGGAATATATTCCATCTTTCTTAAAAACAATTGTTATTGCCACGATTCCAGCCTGCAGGCTCTCAGACTCAATGCCATCAAAGGAAACGTAAAATTAAAATATTATTTCTTAAATGCATGAACAGCTACATAGAGATGGGACATAAATAGACTGTCCAGTCAGTTGGTAGTAAACTAATATGTGATGGTTGCCTTTCTGCAAGTGGATGGTCTAAAGAACGAGTACACAAGGAATTTCTGAACAGCAGAGGATACTCACGTCTTAAGATATTTCTTTGTTCTAATTCTTCAGTTGTGGGCCTCTGGCTGAGTCTCCTAGATGACAAGAAGAATACACTACAGGTTACAAATGAGGCTCCTTTAATGGAGATGCAACATGAAGCAAAGCTAGATTGTTTTTTTCACTAGTTGAGAAATAAAAAATCCATTTTGTTATGCTTTTATTAAGGCCTTATAGTTATACATAATGGTGGGGTTCATTTAAAAAATTCCATTTTTCACAACTATGAAATAAAGCTGTCCTTTTCACCCGTTCACAGACCCCAGATTGTGGCTGACACTGATAACTACCCCCATTATCCATTCTGTCTTCCTCTGATGAACAGAACTTCCTAAGTTTTAGCTGCGTACCTGGCTGCAGACCTCAATCTCCTGGACTGCAGCCAAGTGTGGGGATGTGATTTGAATTCTGCCGTGGAGTGTTGAATTCTGCTATGGAGTGTGAGCCAGATGATGTAAGTTCTTCTTTTTACCCTTAAAATGACCGAGTGTGTTCCCTTCTTTCTCTTTCCCTCTTCTACAGGCTAGAACATAAAACATGGTGGTGTAATCCAGCTTTGAGCATGCAGAGGAAACTGTCCAAGGGGACAGGAGATCAATGAAACAGAATGAATCTGGGTGCTAGTCTTTGGGAGCCATGATTCCCAGTCATGATGCGTGGCCGGACAGTTAGGTGAAGCCTTGTTAGAACCACTGTACTTTTTGGTCTCCCACAGGAGTTTAGCTGACAGCCTAATTAACATGCGGTCATTCAAGTCTAAAAATTAGCTGCTGTTCAAGCATTCATGCCCATTTAGAAATTGCTTAATCTATGCTGCACAGGGGTTTAAGTGAAATGCTGCTTTCGGGACCTCAAATGAATATTTACATATAATGTGATCTTCAAGATATATTGTTCCTTCTCCTCTGCCTTTAAGATAACCAAGGCTCATTTGGGATTAGGAGTTATCTATTTGTACATGAGAGCAGTATATCCTCATAAATCCCTTGTTCTCAGTCTTATTCATATGATTAATTCGTTGTTAGTAAGGAAAAAACTTCCTCAGGATGTAGGTTAAGTTTGTACAACTTAGACTAATATATTTGAAAGGTAATTTTACTATAATATATGACTAATTTGAAATGTTATGACTCTCATAGAAATGCAATGAATAAATGAGATTAGTGACATTTTAAATATGTGATTAAAATTTTTGTTAAAATCTAATCTTTATCAGAGCTACCTTGAAACTAAGTTGAGTAACTGAACCCACAAAAGAGCCCAGGGGACATCACTGCACTGTATTTCATGCTCCCCTCCTACCCATGTGTCCTGTGCTACCAGTATATTGGGCTCTGTATCCAACCACACCTGTATCACCCCTCTTGTACTTAAGCTTGTTTCCTCCTTCCCCAATGCCTTTCTTTCCTTCTCCAGCTACTAAAACCCTGCAAATGGTTAAATCAGTCTCCTGAAGGTAGGTGTTTGTCCTGTCCTGTAAGAATTAAAGCTTCCTGATTCTTTCCCCCCACACAATGGTTACTCAAGACTATACATCCATGAAAACAGTAAATCATAAAGACAATCACAGCTACCTTTTATTCAAACTTTTAAAGTCCCAGGTATTATGATAGGTGCTTAATGTATACTATCAAGAGTCCTCACAACGATTTAGCAAGGTAGCAGCCAACTCCTACTTTATAGATGAGGAAATGAGATATCAATTAACTTGCCTAGTGAACACAAGAGTCAGGATTTCCATCTGTGGCCTTTGACTTTGATGTCTGTTCCCTAAGGCTGGACCTGTGGGTGAGTTATCTTTGAATGACAGGGATTAGATGTGCTGTGTGTGTTGGGAAACAATTCTGTAAAATTTACATGTTAATGGCAGACATTCTACTCCACTAAAAGTTTGTATACATACAGTCTTTGTGTTTGTTTACAAAGGCTTTTGAATTTTGGGGGTTGTAGTGAGTCCTAATTCACAAAAGCAAGAGGTACTGTCTCCATTGGATAACTAGACCTGGGATGGGAAGCTTTCGTCCATCCACCACAAATACACACCTCCATTCCCAGGCTCCCATACCTCCAGGAATCCTTGATGAAACGATGCTCTATGGGATTGCATGGGGTCAATTTTTCACATTATTTTTTTTATCAGTCCTTCATTTTTGAGCACTTGGCTTGTTTTGTCATTGGTATATAAGTAAGCTTGTAATAAGTATCTTTATAAACATGGTTTTAAAAAATCCGTCTGGAATATTTCCTTTTTATATATATCTCCAAATAGAATTACCATGCAAAGAAATTAGACTGATTTATAATTCTCTTATCATACTGTGAAACTATTCTTCAAAAATACTGAGCAAGAATGTACGTGTGTCCTATTTCTCTATAAACTTGCCAACATTGAGTTAGTTTTAAATGCGCTTTACTAGTTTAATAGATGTATAATAATTTAAGTTTATAATGAGAAACATTAAATTTTGTTGAGCCCTTACTGATCCAGGCACTAAAGAGCCTTAAGTGTATCATTTTATCTAAATCCTTGCAAGCTCCCGGGATAGTCACTTGTTTTAGGAGTGGATCCAAGCAGGGGCTCTTTCCTTGTTTTCCATACTGAGTTTCTGCAAGTATTTTCAAATAAGTTCTAAATAAGTCCACACCCTGGTATTTCTTCCTTTTCCTTTCTTTTATTTTTTTATGTTGGGGATCAAACTGAGGGCCTTCTGCACACTAGCCAAGTACTTTACCACTGGCTGCATCCCCAGCCCACACACTCTGATAGGAACAGACACATCTCACAATGGTTCTTATTAAGTTTATCACAGCCTTGAACATCTTCCAAAACCTGAGTGGAGGACACCTCATCTTGTCTCTGTAGATGATTTTTCTTTGGCCCACGTTGGGAGAGGTGACATTTATTCCTGTTTGGTTTCATTTTGTGGAACGAATACTTTATTGATGTCCTGATTCTGTCAAGTACATGTACTTTATCAATCCTCAGGTGATAAATAAAGTCCTGTGATACTTCATGCCACCCACACTCCTGATCAACCAGTCCACTAAATTTTCCTCACTGATAAAAATGTTTACTCTTTCTCTCTCCATTTATTAATTCCTTCCATTATGATTTTCTGGAGGTAGATTTTTTGGGGCCTCAGGTTAAATGAGTAGCTGAGTATTTAAAATGTACTTGTTGCTACTATTGTGAGTGTAATTTTCCTTATTCATTTGATTCTCTTGCTATGTGTCAATAATAATACAGATATAACGTTGATTTTCACAGATTAATCTTACATCTGTGAACTTGTTGAAATTATGATGTAAAAAAGTTTTGGTAGTTTTTCAGTTTTATAGGTATATAATGAAGTATAACAGTATTTCTTATAATTTAAACTTTCTTTTCATTAGAAATGATTGTCACTAGTCTTGTAGTATAAGAAGAGCAGGGAGTTTTTGTTTGCTTCTATTTTTAAAGAAAATAATTTTATAGTTTCTCCATATACTAAAATATTGAGCAATAATTTGGGGAAAAAACCCTATACTTCTGATTTATTTAGGATTTATAACACAAAATTATCTTTAAAATTTTAAAATTTTCAGATGCTTACTGAGATGAGCATATAATATTTTGCTTTCTTACCCCTTACTATGATAAGCTGTCACGATATTTTTTTTTATTTTTAAGGAAAATGCATGAGTTTGCATTATTCTTACTTGCAAATATTGTTCTTTAAATTCTTCTTCATGGCCAAACATAAACAAAGGCAATAAAACAAATACTCAGAAAACCTAGAAGCATATTCTCTTACATGGTGCAATAAGTACAAAATAGGAGAGTATATATAAGAAAGCAGATTGGGCAGAGAATTGAGGAACAGAAATTTTAACCCTTGTCCTTCTATTAAATAACTGCAAGTCTTTCAGAAATTTCCTTAATCTCTCAGGCCTCAGAGAGGCCCCTGTGTTTACTCAGTAAGATGACAAGTCTGAAGGTAAAGTCTGTCCAGCTTGATGCTGCAGATCCCTTTAGTTTTCTTTTAGCTTGGCTAGCTCTTTCCTGAAGTAGGAAATGGTCAAAGTTTACGGTTGAAATGAAAAGACTAGAGTGAGAAACAGATCATCCATCAGTAAACTACTCTGAACGGCTTCCAAAGTCCTGGAGGTTGGGAGGTGTCTCAGAGCAGAGGGACCTTCAGGCCTCTTCGAGATTCCCCGGGAGACTGCGCCTTTCCTTCAGGTGGGCACCACAGCTGCCTCTGAAATTCTCGTGTCTTACCACAGCAAGATCTCGCAGAGGAACAGCCACTGGCCTCCAGAAGACCTCATGCCAGCTCTCCAGTGCTGCAGTGTCCACTTCCAAACCAGGACAGCAGCTTCCTCCCACCTCCAAACCCTGCTCTGGTATTCCAGATGGTTCCCTTCTCCTCCCTATGCACCCTGATAGGTACGCAGAGGGACAGAAGTCAGCTCTTAAATGTGCTTCAACAGAATAAAAAATGAGAGCATTGGCTTGAATTAAAACTGCCAGGTAAATGGACTTCTAAAGTCACTTGTGGCAAAAGCGGAAGTCCTACACAATGGCAGGAGGCAGAAAGAGATATCAGATGACCCACTTATTGGGAGTTAAAAGGGGGAAGTTGAGACGTGGGGGCAATGGTCACTCAACCTAGATGAAGCCAGGACATTGAGGCTAACATTGCTACAGTCTCACAGCACACGGGGCAGAACCTCAGGACACTCAGAGAAATGCCAGTGCATCCATGGAGTAGGCCAGGATTGGGCAAACTGTGGTCCACAGGCCCAATCCTGTGGGCCACCATATTTAGTAAATAAAGTTTTTTTTGAAACATGTCCCCACTCATTCATTTATATGTTTTTTTTTTTTTTTATGTCTGCTTTCCTATTACAATAGCACAGTTGAGTAGCTACAACACAGACTGTCTGGCCAGCAGAGACTAAAATATTCACTAACTGGTCCTCAAAGTTATGGTTGATGACCTCAAAGCCACTGGCTGGCTAACTAAAAGGCAGGTTCTGAGTGGTTTGCTCTCCAAGACCAACTTGCCAAGGCCTGAGGGCCAAGTGTGCCTGTACACAAGAAAGCCACAATGGCCCCAATCAGGTAAGAAACTCAGGGAGGAAGACCAGTATGAGCCAGTCCCAGCTGCATGAGGACCTGGGCAACTACCTGACGAGCTTGGTTCCGATCTGATGTCGGAGTTCCTGCCTCTCTTCTTCAGATGTGCGCTGCAGGATGTTTTTGTCTTCTAGTTCTTTCTTGGATGGCCTGTTGCCAAGTTTGATGGCAAGAGTGTCCCTTCGTCGTATCTTACTCGCCAAAGCACCTGAGGATTGATTGAAAAAGAGCAGAGATGCAGATAAAGCGCGTTTTAGCCTGTAGCACTCAGGTTACATGTGGCGTGGGCGTTCAACAGGGTCCAGGCCAAATTCTTTATCCACATGCAAGAGGGGAATCTTAATTAACCTAAGGAAGAGAGGATTTTGAGTTGGATGTAGTTCAGTTTGAAAGAACTGAAGACTATTTTTTTTTAAATGTTCTGAAAAATATTGGGACACCATGAAAAAACTTGGACATGTCACCTCATTATTTGGAAAGAGATAGTTGGAATTTATTTTGCTGATATGGTGGATCATGGAAATTACTGATTGCACAATGCTTTTTCTTTCTTTTCAAGTTTTGAAACTTATCCCCTCTCCTCATACTGTACAGTTAATCCTTGTCTCCTTCCTTCCTCCACTCAGACATGATGCTGGCAGAGTCTACCATTTATACAAATATTTTAACCCTCCGTTACCCAGGGGCCCCTGAAAAATCTCAGCAGATGATAGCTCACACCAGGTGGGTAACAATTTTTTTTTTTTTGCTCTGTACAAATTAGAGGGAATTCGACACACTTCTGTTTAGTCATGAATAGAATAATAAGTATTTATAATCTATAAATTAAATTTCACAGTGAATTCCCCTCAAGCCATCCTGCTCAAAAGCTAAGGGGAAATAAAAAAACAGCACATTCCACTTCTCCAAGTAACACATAAATGGTAGGCTTTGCTCCACTGTGGTGTCATTTCTTCTTAGAAGGTTCACAGTTGTACCTATGGTGGATGAGTGATGTTTTTTTTAATTCTAAAAAAGATATTTGTCATTCCTGACTCATTCTTTCCTCCTCTCTCAGTAAACTGCAGCATAAAATGAGTGAAATTCTCTAACACTTTCCCAGGGTAAGCCAGTGAATCCCCCGCCTTGATTCTCTATCTTCAAGAATGGTCCCATGGTAGAAGGGCCATGTTTGGTCTTTCTGAAAAAGGACTCTGCCATTAGAAAGCTTTGCATCTTTTTTATTTTTTTATATACAGATACTAACATGCATGTTTACTTCATAATTTAATCAAAGCCTGATCCACCCCTGTTGTCTTTTTTAAAATTTAGCTGGACCTCACCAGCTAAAGTATGTTTCTAGCTTGAGAAAGGAAGATAAGGGGAATGAAGTCTTGGGGTGTCTGGCTGCTAATCAAGTTCTTCCTCATTCCAACACACAGCCACTGTTTACCATCTGCTATCCTCCCTATCTCTTGAAAATAGTCTTACTTTCTCCGCTGCCATCCTCGTCCTCATCCTCTTCCTCGTCATCATCGGTATACAAGATGGGCCCATCAGAGTCGGAGTCGTTGGCCTGGTACTCCCTTGGGCCTTCGTCCTCTGGGGCACTGAAGGACTCTGAAAAGTCTTCCATCAGCTCAGGGGTCAGCAGCTGAGTGTCCACCTTCCCCAGCTCGTCTTTGGTTGTAAAACTGTTTAGAGCACAAAAAAACACAGAGGTGACTCAAAGTTCAGAGCAACCCTGGGGACACCAACTCCATGAAAGGAGTTCTAGTATCTATCATGGGTCTCCTTTAGACTGGGGAGAGGAGAAACCAGAGCTGGGGCAGCTAACGTCACTGACATGGAAGAGTAGTGAGTGCTGGCTTACTCAATTCTCCAGGTCTTACATTCTGCATCTGCAAAACTAAACAGCTTCACCGGATGGTGTCTAATATTTAGTAAATGAGCAAGGTAGCCAGGTGCGGTGGTGCACACCTGTAATACCAGCAACTTGGGAGGCTGAGGCAAGAGGATGGTAAGTTCAAAGCCCACCTCAGCAACTTAGTGAGGCCCTAAGCATCTTAGGATACCCTGTCTTATAAAAAGAAAAGAAAAAAAAAAAGGATGGGAATGTGCCTCAGTGGTTAGGCACCCCTGGGTTCAATTCCTGATACCAAGGGGTGGGGGGGGAGTAAAAATGAATAAGGTAAAACTATGTCTTGCTAATTGATGTTTCCATAGTAATGGTGACACAATGTAAAGAATAATGGGCTAGAAGCTCCTCAATTATTTGACTTTTTGTCTGCACTTTGTTTGACCTGTGAGTCTCAGTTAAAGCCTCAGCATCTTCAAAAAACTTTTTGAGTCTGTTGAGTTCTTTGCCCTGCTCATCTGCTCTTAAGGTAGTCACCTTAACACACTGCACCTGGACCAACCCCCAGTCCACCTCCACATGGTCCTCACTCAACAAGTGGGACATGTAACTGTGTACACCACAGCACCCAGAAGAGTAGTGGTAGAGGAAAGTACATCTTCTTTCATGAATAGGTGAATAAACCCCATTTTCGTCCCAGCCAGTGTGTCAAGGTTCAAAAATCCTTTATCCTATCTGTGCTTTCATTCCTTCATTGGTAAAACTGCTTCTCCCAGGACTAGAGTAATAATCAGATGGAGGATATGAAGTTAAATGAACTCTTCAGAAGAGAGATGATGTTCAGGGAAGTGATAATTTCCTGTTAATAGGTGAGGTAAGAGTCTCTGGTTTAAAGAGTTACTACAAATACATAAAAGTAAAAAATATACTCAACATCAAAAATATTTCATGCAAAAAAACAATACAGTCGTCATTTTAAGATAAAGAAGATTCCCCAAGTTGCTTTCTGATATAAATAGAAGAATCTGTATTTAGATGTCACACTTCTGAAAGACTATTTAGTAGAAAACATGTGTTTGCTGTTCTCACTGACTAAAAAAAAAAAAAAAAACCCAAAAAGAAAAAGTGCTTTGAATAACGAATACAGGTAAACTTTTTCAGAACATGAGGTATTTAAAATTCTACTTTGTGGTTATAAACCTAAGCACTTCCAAGATTTTCTATTTTTAACTAGGAAAATCCAGCAGCCTAAATTCTTGTTCTCAAAGAAGAGATACATGAAATCTAATTTTTTATTCTGTAAAATATATATAACATAAAACATACCATTTTAAACACTTTTAAGTGTGTAGTTCAGTGGCATTCGATACACATACCTAATAATCGTGTAATCATCTCCAGACTGTTTTCATCTCCCCAGATTGAAACTCTGTATCCATTAGATAATTACTCCCCATTCCCACTATTGACAGCCCTGGGCGACCACCATTTCACTTTGTGACTTCATGACTCAACTATTTTAAGTACCTCATACAAGTGAAATTACACGGTGTGTGTTCTTTTGTGTTCGATTTGCGAGGTTCTTTCCTATCACAGCATGTGTCAGAATTCCTTTCCTCCTTAAGGCTGGATGATATGCCATGGAATGTATACACCACATTTTGTTTATCTGTTCATCTGTCAATGGACATCTGGATTGTGTCCACGTTTTGGCTGAGGCTGCTGGGAACACTGGTACAAAAAATCAATTCCCTGCTTTCAATTTTTTTGGCTTTACACACAGAAGGGGAATTGCAGAATTATAGTGTAATGGTATGTTTAATTTTTTGAAGAACCGTTATACTGCTGGCTACAGCAGGAAGTCTCATCTCAAATGAGAGAAGAGTAATTTTTGTGGGAAAACTTTCAGTCTGGATGCTTAGTTCATTGCCACTGGAAGCCATTTTTGTTTGCAGAGACTGCCATTATAGGTGACCACAGCATCTTTAAAAGATACATGTAATAACACCTTCTAGATACAGCAGAACAAAACATGTTTCTGAGTCGAGTCTTGTTATTTGTTTGTGTGTGAGTTTGCTAATTTATTAGGACATTATTATTTTAATCTCACCATTTGTATTTTATAATATATTTTGTAGTTGGCAAGTAATTCAGAAATATTTACAACTTACCAGTGTTCTACATTATAAGGAGGGCAGGTAATTTATAGTTCATGGATCCAAGGAAGGCCATGAGTGAGAACCTTAATCAAGATAGCAAGTCCAGGCTAGAACCCAGACTAAAGACTCTTAAATCTATTTATTAATTGTTATATTTTATTTTACATTATTATATTAGCCAGGCACAATGGTGCATGCCTGTAATTCCAGCCACTCAGGAAACTAAGGTAGAAAGATTGCAAATTCAAGGCCAACCACAGCAACTTAGTGAGACCCTGTTTCAAAATAAAAAAATTAAAAGGGCTGAGGATGTCGCTCAGTAGTCAAGTGCCCCTCAGTTCAATCCCCAGTACCAAACCAAAAGAAAAAAAAATTATATTAATGCTATAAGTTATATTTCACATTAAATATGCTTCTAATCTATGTCAATTAACTCATGTCTTGGCACTCATGTTTTTCCCCTTTGGTTCCTGGGCACACTGGACAATATAGTGCATGCCACGAATGTGGAATGGACTCAACAAGTCACCTTTGAACAAGGCCTCAAAATGGGTTGATTAGTTTCTGCTTCATGTAATGTAAGACTTGTATGTTACTGATAAAGCTGCCAATGAATGGAAACCTACCAAATAGTTAGCACCCTGCAATATGGGATAGAAGGAGGTATTTTTATACATACCACTTGCCCTCTTTAAAGTTCTGATATTTGTATTCCACACAGAAGTCTTTTCATAAAATGACAGGATTTTCACACATTAGGTGACTAAATATAACTCAAGGAGAGTTCTAAGAAAAGCAGGTGACTAAGAGCCAAAAATTCTAATTCAAATATCCACTTGAAACAGGAAGAATTTGGAAGAAAATCTGAGACACTACCTACTCCAAATTCATTAATTCAAGAGCAAACACAAACCACCCCTGTAGGATGAATTATAATTTAATTTTTTTTTCTTTGAAGAACATATAGAGAAGAAAATCTCTTTGAGTTCTTCTAGGAATTTGTTAGAGTTACCCTGATGGGTAGGACATCTATTACAAATATCCTCAATGTCTAATGATACTCTAAGTCTGCTCCTTCTGATTTAGTGTTAGGAGAAATAGAAACTGATCCTTTGTCTGATAGATCTTCACATACTCAGGCTAAAGACAGATGTTAAACTCTGGCACATAGTACAGAGCTCAGTACAGTTAAGTGCACTCCTGAAATGTTTGTGAAAATGATCTGGAAGTCAGGTCACTCTTGGAAATGGGCTTTCTGAATGCTTAAGACTATCTAAGGAGATTTTATATGATTTATATCTTGTTCTTCAGTATATTAAGGCATATATGTTCAATCTATTTTTCCAAAATTCAGAAGTTGTGTGAAATATTTATACTCCCTGGGCTCACTAGTCAATATTTTGATAAAAATTACTCATGTTTGGGTCACTTTTATATGTCTGGTGCGTAGCACATTGCCCAACACAGAGAAGACCAACCAAAACTATGCTGAAAGAATAAAGTTCAGTATTAAGATTGGAAATAACAGCAATATTAAAAAAAAAAAAACACTCACTACAATTAAAGGAAGTCATTTGCTATGTGCTGGAACTATTAAGAACACTTCTCTGGTTTGAATGGGTCCCCCAGAATTCATATCTTAAAAATTTAACCCTGCAGATGACAGCATTGGAAGATAAGGCCTCATGGGGGGTACCTGAATCATAAGGACAAAGCCCCAAAGAAGAGATTATTACCATTACAAAAATGGCTTGAGGGAGAGGGTTTGCTCTTGAGCGCTTGACCTTCCACCTTTTGCCATGTGATGATGCAGAGAAAAGGCCTTTGCCAAATGTTGGAAACTTGATCTTGAAATTTCCAGCCTCTAGACTGAGAATCAATACATTTCTGTTCATTATAAACTACCCCATCTCAGGTATTCTGTTATAGTAGCCCAAAACACACTAACCATAACCATTTCATTTCCTTTCAATATCTTCCCTGTATTGCTTTAAAATCTCAGATAAATAATTTGTAATTGGATCTTTATTTATCTTTCCTTCAAATTATACTACACAAAATGATGAAAATAAAGAAATAAGAATATATTAGGAAAGAAATAGCAGTAGAAGGAAAAGCAACTATTTTGGAAAACTTGTGAAATTCTTCAAAGCCTAGAATTTGGTGGGCAGTGCTACGTTTGTATTCTGGCTTTGCCACTATTAACTGGGTGATCCTGCGCAAACTAGTTTACTTCTCTCAATATCAATATTCTTATAGATAAAATAGGAAATAAATACTTCAGGGAAGATTTACAGGAATTAAATGATGATAAATATACAGTGCTTAGTTCCTGACATTAAGAATTCAGTAAAATGAAAATCATTACTATCAGCAATTAAATAAAGTTGATACTTTGGTGGCTTGATCAAAACCAACCTAATTAATGCAGTAATTTTTTAAATAGTCTAACATGACAAAGATTTTTTTTTTGAAAGAGACCCTATTAAAACATTTTAAAACTGATTATAGGTTTTATTCTTAGAAAGTGAAAAGAAGATATTAGACATGAGAGTTCTGAGCCTTCCCTAGACAGATTGATGATTGAATCAACTACACACTGATAGCCCTCTCTTCCGACCTGTGGGACAGGAGGGATAAACTGTTTTACTTACCTTTGAGTAGAATATTTACAGGACTTTGTGAGTGATCAGATGTGATGAATAAAGAAAGGATCCTGAGGGCCTAGGCTGAACCCCAGGTTTCTGGATTGGGCGACTAGATAATGGTGGGGCCACTAATCCACCAAGGCTTATGTCCATTGGCCTGTTTTGCATGGTAACCTTCCTCAGTGAAGGAAAGACTACTGGACCACGGTCTTTTTTAACTTTGGTTATCATCTGCTTATCAACTCTAGCCTCAGGGCCATCTCATCTTTGACACCACTCCACCATACTGGAGTAGGCTGATGTTTCCTATAACCAATCTCCTTAGCCCACTTCTTCATTTTTATTAAAAAATCAGTGAACATTCCTAGTGCCCACAGAACACTCCACTCTATACTGCCTGCTGGGGACACAGAGGTACATAAGATGTTAGCTTGTTCTGTCCCACATGTCAGGAAAGAGGGGTTTCTGAGTATGGAAGATGCAACAAGCACTTCTGTCTAGAAGCATGGGAAAGCTTCACAGAGAAGATGAAATCTCAGCTGGGTGGGGAGGTAAGTGAGTAAGGATGGGGGCCACTCTACAGTTAGGAGAAAACGAGTTGGAATTTTAGAATTCTTTCCTGACAGTCTTAGTTTTCTTAGAGAATAAGGCTACATAACTTAACTAAATGAAGGTGGGCAGGAGTGGGTGAGCAATCTGGACCCAAGTGAGAAAGATTTAAAATAAGCATAGAAAAGAGAAGGGAATTGTCTAGGGACAAGAAAAAAGGCTGCCGAGCTGTGCTCTGAATGCATTTGAAAATCACAGAATTGGTGTTTGTCACCATTATCAATGTGATTGTCTCCACAGCTCATGGCATCCCCAGGGCAGGGTTAAGAAAAACCAGTGGCCAAAAGTGAGCTCACCTAATGTTCACCAGAGTACATGACAGAGGGAGGGCTCCTCCATTCTAACACAATACTTCACTGATCTTTTCTTTCTTTCTTTCTTAGTACTTGGGATTAAACCCAGGGGTACTTATCCACTGAGCCACATCTCCAGCCCTTTTTGTATTTTATTTAGAGACAGGGTCTCTCAAAGTTGCTTAGGGTCTCACTAAGTTGCTGAGGCTCTATTTCAACTTCCTGCCTCAGCCTCCAGAGCCTCTGGGATTACGGGTGTGCACCATCATTCCTGACTTCTTGACTGATGTTTAACATTCAGATGCATCACGGGGTTGGCACCCGGACTTACCATTTTGCATTTTCTCGGCTAACACTTAAACCAGCACCCGAGTGGAGAGTGGTTCTGTTGGTCGGCTCTTCAGTCCAAAGGAGCTGACTCGGGTCTAAGGCAGAGACAGGCAGGTCAGTGCCACTGCTGACCAGGACAACTGGAGCATCTGAGGCAACAATGCACTGATCTTCGAGAAGCAGAGGAGGGGCAGGCGGGGAGGGTGGAGGAGCCACCAGGGGTGGAGGAACTGTAGGCTTGGATTTGCCTACGGTCTGCTCCTCTGCCCCAGGGACAGTCTGCTCAGGTGTGGCACTCTCCACTCCAGTCTCCGAAGGCTCTCCTTTAAGGTCAGATGTACCAGCGGTGGCATCTGAGGACAGTCGAGAAGTCACCGGCTGCTTGCCAGCTTTTTTCTTGCCCTTTGCGGCCCCCACTGTCCCTGTTTTGCTACTAACTGTCTCCTTAGAAGTTTTGGGACGAGAAGAGGTGGATGAAGTAGATGGTGAGGCTGATGCTTTGGAGCCAGTTGATTTTTTTGAATGAGAAGAACCAGCTAAAATAGAGAAATTTTTTGCGTTAAAAATCAAAGAAGACAAAGCTTTTTAAATAAAGTAACCAAGCTGGAATTGTTAATGACATTTAAAATGCTCTACTTAAAATCTGCTGGATAAATGGAGGAAAGAAAACTAGCTAGTAATGATAATGTTCTTGTCTTCTGTACCCTCTCTGCCTCTAACCTAGGAGGTAGAGACAGGCAGGTCAGCACCATTAACATTTGGGGCAGAATTAAGGGACAGGGGCCTTCAATCTCCTCTCTCTTTGAGTCTTTAGCTGGAGCAAAGGGGAAACCCTCTCTTCCTTGTCATATGCATCACTTAGAAAAAAAAAAAAAAAACTATTGTAGGTCCTGAAGAAGAGATATCTTGGTGCAAAGAGGCAGGCACCAGTAGTGAGGTACAGGTGGCACACAGTTGAGCTCTTCATAAATTACCTGTGTCCTGTGATGTCTTTCTGGAAATGGAGTAGAGGTCCATATTCAGAAGGAGCTGGGGTATATGCTGCCAGTTTCTTTTGGGGTTCAAAACAAATTCACTCATCCCACTGCTAACAGAGCAAACTCCAAATCAGCTGTCCCCTAGCTCCAGGGAAGGAAGCTAGCCATGCTGGCCTATACTTTCATTTTGCAGTAGTGATGAGGATGGGGGTGACAGCCACACACGAGGGACAGGTCCCCTTCAAATCATCATGAGACAGGAAAAATGTATTTCATTGTGCTTTTTACCAAAAATATTTACATAGGTAATGTCTGACTAATATGAAGAGAGCCAGGCATGGTGGTGCACACCTGTAATCCCAGCAGCTTGAGAGGCAAGAGATCACAAGTTCAAAGTCAGGCTCAGCAACTTAGCGAGGCCCTTAGCAAGTTAGTGAGACGCTGTCTCAAATAAATAAATAAATAAATAAATAAATAAATAAATAAAAAACAGGCTGGGGATGTGACTCAGTGGCTAAGCACCCCTGGGTTCAATCCCTAGAACCAATGAATAAATAAATATTGAAGGGAAAATATCACTCCCAGAACTTCTGTTTGTTTTTGTGATGAGATCTTGCTATGTTGCCCAGGCTGGCCTTAAATTTCTAGGCTCAATCAATCCTCCTGCCTCAACCTCCCAGGTAACTGGGACTAGAGATGCACACCACTATGCCTGACTCTTTCCAGAACTTCTGACCCCAACTTTCACAAATCTAATTCTTCTTATGGCCTAAGTTCCAAGCAGGTCTTCAAAGGGTTGTCGTGTTTGCCAAATCATTTTCAGGAAAACAAAATAACTACCCTCTCCTTTCTGTCATCTTAGGAAGTTTACTTAAACTCCTTTGAGAATATTCATTTCACTGCTTTAATGAACTATAATTTCTCCTGACTGCTTCTTCCTTTTTTTCTCACGAGAGGTTAAATTATCTTTTGCAGAACTATTAAAAAATGTCTTGTTAGGATTGTGCAGACAATCCATATTGCATACAGATGTTATTTAACCTACCTGTGGTTATAACTTTATTAAAGTCAAGAGATGAAGAACAAATAAAGAAACAGACGACGAGATGTAAGACTTTATTAACTTTGATATGCCAAATAAGCCAGGCTCCGCTAGTGAAAAGATCCAGGCTTCAAAGGAGTCTCTTCATTTGAGGTCTTTATTATTTTAGAAATACAGAATAGCTAGAACTCCACCAAATCTGGACTTGTTATTACATCTTTATAGTTAAAAACTTTTATTGTTTATAAGTCAAATCAATCAAGCCTCCTTAAGCTCATTCTAACTTTTTTTTTTTTCTTGCAACAAAGACACTAAGGATTTGGTGCCTAAAAATGCTCAATTATTTTCTCAGGTAAGTTCAACATAATCCCTTCCAAATCCATTCTAAGAATATCACTTCTAGTCATATTTCTGGGAAAAATTCTTTCATTTCTAACAGAAAAGTTTAACTTTAGCCTGTCTCATGGAAAAAAAAAATTCAACATCTGGAGTGCAAATTCAGGCCATATTATGTTTTTCTTTAAGAAGCTTGTACATGACAGGACTTTGCTGAAACCAACTATGATTGAAAAAGAAGTACCATCTTTCAGTTAATAACTTTTGTTGCTAATCGTGTGTAACAATGAGAAACAAAAAAGGGAGCTTTATCTTCACTTTCGTGGTAAAGCACCTGAACCATCTATATTGATAGGTGGCTGTATGATTTAAGAACTGAAAACATCTGAAAGAAAATCAAGAGCTATGCCAGGCCTATAGTACAAGCCTGTAATCCAATGGCTGAGGAGGCTGAGTCAGGAGGATTGTGAGTTCTAAATCCAGCCTTAGAAAAGGCAAAGTGCTAAGCAACTCAGTGAGATGCTGTCTCTAAATGAAATACAAAATAAGGCTGGGGATGTGGCTCAGTGGTCGAGTGTCCCTGAGTTCAATCCCCAGTTTAAAAAAAAAAATTAAGAGCTGCATGTTTGAACTGACTTTTTGAGGTCAACATTATTTAAATAAAACAAAGTTACCAGGCAGAAAATTCCAAATGGATACACCCTGAATATCCTAGGACTCTGAAGAAAGTATTATTACTGATTGATAGACAGATCTTTGCACATGGCCTTAGTGTCCTTCAGTGCAAACCGTTTCTCTGTGACAGCCCTGGGAACAGTCACATTCTTATTGGTATAAGGGCCTGCCCGTCTTATATATGATTCAATGGATAAAATGACTGTACTATTCTCATAGGGACCTCATGAGTCTATAAATAAATCTTCAAGTAAAATATCTGGAAATAACTTCAAATCTGTCACGAAAGCTGTCCCCTGCCCTTGCATTCATCATGGGCTTTCTTCTGAGAGTCCCAGCCACAGTGAACCTTCACCATAAGGAAAACGAGGAAGTGGGGAATCAGACTCTTCATTCCCAAAGGTAGAATGAGAGTGTGGAGCTTTTCTTCAGGAGATTGACCAGTGCCCACCCGACTTCAGGCACAGTTCTGAGGCTTCACGAGGCAGCCTGGGAAAAAACACACTGACACCAACAAGCATGAACACTGACGTCCAGACCCCTGGGAAATGGCCCTTACGCACTGTTGGCACATGGTTCTGAGCTGTTTCGTTTCAGAGCTGATTAGAAGACACCCAGACCTTAGGGTCAAAGGCGAGAAGAGAGGAACCTAGAGCTGTTATACAGTCAACTCAGCCAGTCTCTGAATTTGAGTTCAGCGGGTATAAATTAGGAGGGGAAAGAGATCAACACCACGGCATATGGCAGCAGTCAATTGCTAGAAAGCTGCTGCTAGTTTTAAGGAAAAAGAGATTGTACAGGAGAATTTTTATTTACATGTTGATGTTCTCAGTGCATGTTCACTTCGATTAATGTCCCTTTAAAAGCTAGACCACATGGTAGGCATCTTAATTCTGTTTCACTAGAAGAATGGGAGCTCCCTTTGCAGGAAGCATGTTCAGTGAAAAGAAAGCTGGACAAAGAGTGCACAAAGAGAAGGAAGTCAGGGCACCCAAACGTCTGCTGGCGATGTGTGATAGCAACTTGAAACAATGCCACACCAAGGTGCTTGCCTCACAACGAATTGAGGTCTACTGACCGGGGTGGGGGAGGGTGGAGGGGTGGGGGAGCAGGGAGCGCTGAGCCTGTAACTTGCAACTCCACAGATGTGATTTTTGACTGGAGTAGAAAGAAGTGGGCAGGAGCTGAACCAACTATTTGGACCATTTGTTCTTTATCAGAAGAGAAATGACCATGAATGCTGAGGATTTAACACATCCATCAAACGTTAAAGATGTATGTCATATTCTTATACGCAAACCTGACATATTTTGGAAGAAAACTCTAACCAAAAGCCACCCATCAACTTTAATAGGCACAAGATCAGTCGATACCTAAATAATGTCATATCAGCTCATCATCACTCATTGGACACGTATCCTACTCCCTGAAATCTTGGACTGGGTCTCATGTGATGGTAGTGGATACCAAGATGAATGAGGCATAAATATGAGGCATAAATACCCAGATCGTAAAAGGGAGAACTAATCAACTTGTTGTCTTTGATACAAACAACACTCTTGAGCAGTCTTTGTGGCAGAGCTGAATCCCCTGGTATAACATCCTGAGAGACCCCCAAACCATCACTTCTGGAAGAAGCAATTAGCCCCACCCCAGAGCCAGGCATCCTGGACTCCACCCCGCAGTGCACTGAGGGCATACTCACCGGCCTCTCTGGTCGTGTTTCGGCTTGTTGGCTTGGGTGGAGGGACGGGGGCCTGCTTACCAGGAGCCTTGGCATTTTTTTTAATGGGAGGCACTTCGTCACCTTTGTGTCTGGCCCCAGAAGTGGCCCCTTTGGGAGGCACAGGTGATTTGGGGGGTTTAGGTTTGGGTTTAGGCTTAGGAGGAGCTGAAGGAGGTGGAGCAGGAGCTGCCGGTGTTTCAGAGTGGTTTTCAGTGTTCTCTATAAATGAAAGTGAACAGAGCAGACTGATGCAGACATACACCATATAAATACTAGGAGCAAGACATGGCGACAGGGATACACACACACACACAGCTGCTTGGCCCTTGGGAACCAGGTGGAGCTCTGCACCAGGGAGAGCAAAGTTTGGTTTAAAAACAAAGGCTGAAGGACAAACGGAGATGTGTTCTCTGCATACATCAACCACTCCTTTGATAAAACTATGAGACATAAGTTACTGGGATAAAGGTATGTTGAGAAGGAGTGTAAATGTCCACAAGACAGATGCCCCAATTCCAGTCTTGGATCTGTGGTTCTGGATGAGGACGTGGACACTGAGTGCTAACTCCAACAAATTGAACAATTTAGCAAAATTGAAGGACCCTCAAGAGTGACAGGTGAGCATATTACACACACCGTCCCGCAGATGAGGACTGATTGACAGCAGCAGCAACTACTGGACTCAAGCCTGATCAAGCTAAAAGGGATTTGTGCTTGGTAGAAGTGCAATAAAATGTTGCTGATTTTCTAAGCTATGGTAGACTGAAGGATCTATGACATGGTGCACAGTGTGTGGAACGATGAACTATTTTCCACTATGAAGATGTTCTCAAGCTTTCCCAGCATACTGAGGAAGCTTCCTGTTTTGCAATAATTTGCTCTGCCCTTTTAACTTAATGCCACAGCTGTAGGTACCTGAGTGCAGAATCCAAAAAAATATGAACTTTGCTCTGTATTATAAACATAAACAATGATTTGGAAAAGACAAATGTTACAATTCACAGAAAGAATTCATACCTAAGAACAGAACCCTCCACAAGGTTTTGCACAACTTGAGGAGAAACACTATCAGTTTCTTGTTAGCAAAAGTGGAGATGCTGAGGCTTTTATTCATTTAGTCACATGTAGACTTCTAGTAGTGACCAATTGAAATTAAAATACAGTTCTGGTCCAAAGAACCAAGCAGCATTTCTTTAAAAATGGAGCACAATAAAAAACACAAGACAGTGCGTTAAGACAAGACTCAGCCTTTCCTGGATATGTCTTCCCATTTTTGAGTGACCAAGTAAGAATTTTAATGCTGGCACATGTTACATTTTACAAAGTCCTTTTTCTTCCTCGTTTTTTTTATTCTAGTGAGCATTTTTATTTCTTTTTAAACCATATCTTTCATTGAGTCACCTATATATCTCCCATGATAATGATTTAAGTTACAGAAACTTATCAATAAGCCCTTTCTTTTAAAGCTCCATTTTATCCTGCCTCAGCCATGAAATCCTCCCCCGCCAATCTCTCCTGCCACCGTACTTATTCAGCCTCACTATAGGAGCGACTCATTCAACATTCAGCATGAGAGTGTGGAGCGTACGTCTTCAAGTTTATATATCTTCTCAACTAAGCTGCTGATCATTTATAATACAGTGTTCTCCCTCCACTCCAGCCTGGTCTGAACCACAAGGTCAGTTAGTCACAAAAGCCCACTGGACTGGAGAATGATACAAGTGTATACGCGGGTAACACACTGAATGTGAATGTAAAATAGCAAACATACGTCGACTTGCCAGTCTTTTGACAAAGGGCAGAAATCTATTCTTTAAGTATGTCTTTGCAATTTTAGCCCTAAGCACAATACCAAGCGTGGAGGCCAAACCCAATGATATTGGCGGTGGGAAGAGCAAACAGATCTGCGGCATTTCGTGTTATTAGTCCTTTTTTCACACTCAAAGCCCTGCCTCTTATCCTTTCCAGTCATGGCATATCACTGACGGATCTTTTTTCTTTCGGTTTAAGGTTTTAAATTCTAAAATTATACCCCAATGATGGGCTGGGGGTGTCGCTCAGTGGGAGAGCATGTGCTTAGCACATGTGAGGCCCTGAGTTCAATTCCCAGCACCACAAATAAAATAAAATTCTCCAAGGAATTCGGCTTTTGCATTTGGGAGGGAAGAGATGCTTGCTGTGTGGCAGTCAGTAATGTCCCCACTGGGGAAAAAAGGAACACGCTGCACACAAACTCTGTGCTGGCTTCTTGGAAAACATGGACCACGCTCTATTCTTTGAACTGTATCGTCATCGGCGAGTGTCTGCCACTCTGGTGACTCCTAGTTGTGTGTATGTGTGTGTGACATGCACTCACAATAGTATATTTTTCTGACTAAATGAAAAATGTCTCTTTTCTGAAATTCTGTATCCCATCAAACACAATGCCCTAAAAATCATCAGTTCAATAAATGTGACTAACAAGCTGATCGTTGCTGTCACGCCATCAATAGCAAACAGATTCTTGCATGTGGGAGGTAATGAATTAAGTTGTGTGTTTTAGGATTACCATATGATCTGAAGACACTATGTAAACTGATGGAGTTCAGGAGTATTATCTTTACAGGAGGTTAAGAAAAAGCTGCCTGCTCACTCTGGCTTCATGAGGACATGAGGTTTCACAACAACACAGTCTGAAAGATAAGCTGCAGGCACGTGGAAAGCTGAGTTCAACAACACTTAGAGCAGGCCCAGTACTGAGTGCACTCTGCACCTGGCCTAGAATGCATTTTGGCTCCAATTCCTTTCCTTCACCCCCTTCCTGACTCCTTGGGGTCTTACTGTGGAAGGTAAGTTTGTACCTCAGAGAAGCCGTCTTGGTCTCTACTCCCCTGTCTTGGTGGACTGGGGCCTTTCACGGTTCTTTGTATCTTGTTTTGCAATTACCTGTGTGCAGTCTGCTCTCCTCTTGTATCATGATCAGCTGGAGGGCAAAGGCCATTTTTCATATACTGACCTTTTCCTGGCCCCTACAGTCTCATCTTCATTATTCTTTTTATATCTTCTTAGTCAAGAAGATATATAAAGCCCTTTACAGTAACTCAATAGAAATAATGTTAAACAATTTTCAGGTTTCTCACACTACGTTGTGTTTAACTGAAAGACCTTAAAAAAGTCTCCAGCCTCAGGGAAAGGAGGCCTCACACCACTGTGCCAACTACAGAATCAGGCGGTTTCAACAGCCCCAGATACACTCACATGGCTTGGTAGAACCTGTTCTGCTTTCTTTGTTATTGAGGCTTCAAATATTAAAGTATTGAAATATTGTTTTATAAAAAGATGCAATAAACATCTGGGATTTTAAAGGCATGTGATATGTTTTTGCAGATATAACCAATTAATAGATGAAGCAATGCTCTTGGGCATGACACTGGAGGGGGAACACTGCATCCCAACAGTGAGGAGGAGTTAGCTCATGGGATGGTGGGTTTGTGTGGTAGTGAGCTCACCCAAGGAGAAACTCCAAAAGAGGGGCAGAGGCATAAGTGAATCGAGTTGGTTTTCAGAATTAATGATATCTTTCTAGAGAAATAAAGTCTTGTCTTTGTCTTAAGACACTTTCTACTTCACATAATTCTCACAAAATATTAATTTTGAGTGACATTCATTTCAGTCTCAGGAAGTGGCTTCCATACCTAACACTTCTCTTCATTATCAGCATGGCAGGTATCATGCATGTCATAGATATCTGTAACCAACACAGCAGATTCACTCTGTAGTCTTAGAGTGCCATGCCGGCAGCTGGCATGTCCACCTCCTTATGTACAGACTAGCCAAGTAAGATGCTAACCTGAACCTTATTGACCAGAAAGAACAGAATGTACTGATTTGAAGTAAAGAATAAGAAAACAAAAACATCTCTCCACCATTCCTGGAACTATGATCTGTCATCTTTTTAGAACACCAAGGCCTGCTGGTTTAACTAGCATAAATCTGTCAGCAACTTTTTATTAGGTTGATAAGGAAAACACTTCCTTTGAAGTCTGGCCAGTCAGTGAATGACACTGACACCCGTATGGACCAGGGAGAAAGCACAGATGAATTTGAAATTTAACAGTTTGGTGAGATGGGACAACTGGACTTAACAACAAACCAACAAAATCACTACTTGCATGAATAAACTAAATTCCTTTCAATTTTAAGTCTACTTTATCTTTATGTTCCAGAAGTGTTATCATTGAAAGTCTTAATTTCTTATAGCCAGTGCTCATAAACTCAACTGGAGTTCTTCCATGGAGCAAGTAAAGCCCCAGGAATACTATGCTTCAGATTTGAAGAAAGCAAAATAATAAATTTCCAATAGATCATTAACAGAGGCTTTTAAAGCTTTTTTAAAAGACTAATGTATGTGCAAATAAAGTGGTTGTGGACTTCCAGAGAAGATGGTGTCAAGCTACCTAGTCTGTTTAATAAAGCCATCAAAAGCCCTTTTATTCCCTTTGTCTTTGGACAATTTGGGTCAAAAACAGAGGAAGAGAAGTTCGCTCTCATCAATTTCTAGGAATACTCAAAATGTCTACAGAATGCAAATGAGGTTTTGACAAGTTTCGGCTGTTCAATGCAGAGGTAGACCTTATAGAACAGAAAATAGTCTGTTTCCTGAGAATTCCTTTCTGTGCCATAGGGAATCATCTAGTCTCTCCCAGTAAAACCTCTCCTTGTGGGGATGTTCAGCTCAAGGTTTGTCTAAGTCTGCAGTGTGGGGGCTCTTGCATGTAATTCCATTGGTATCGAGATGTAATCAACCCACACCGAGGAATTTGTGAAGGTTCTGGGGGTACACGATAGACCTGCATGTCACAGATATCTGTAACCAACACAGCAGATTCACTCTAGAAACCAAGGCCTCTAAAGAAGACTTCAGGGGAATAGTATCATTGCCTCTAACACATTTTGAAATTGTATTTGCACAGATCAATCACAAAGCAGAGACTGCAATAATCAGTTTTCTGGGGACCATTCCTGGGTTTCTCTTAGAAATGTCTAAAACCTACAACATTGGGTCTACTGATGCCACCTACTAAGTCCCACTCTTGGAGAGGGAGTGCCAGCTCGAGGGAGCCATGTGGGTTTTGGTGTTCCTCCATGCAGAGCTCTTCACAGGGCCCAGTTAAAACCAGGTGAGAAAGATGTTCCAATATCTCATTTTTTTTTTAAGATCCTAAAGAAAAAATCTTAGAAAAAGGAGAATATTTTCAGACATCCTAATGCTTGAAGAGTCCACCTTTTCTGATTACCTTTAATTGATCCTCTTTAATAATAAAAAAACAAACAATGCCATATGAAATGGAAGCATCCACCTGAGGATATTACCCTATTTCTTGCCCCCTAATTATCATTTCTCTCTTCTTTATATTTCAGACTTCCTCTTTGTGGACCACTGGTTTTAGGTCACTATTTGGAGACTGAGACCTGCTTCTTGACATTGAGCTAAAGGAAATAATACGGGTTTTTCTCTTTATTTTACCTTTCTTATCTTCTGCCTTTTCCTCCCGAGGTGGTGATTTCTCAGATACAGAGCCATTACCTTCTTCAGACTTCCCTACATTCTCCTCTCGGGTAGATTCCTCTCCGATGGGTATCATGTGCCCGTTTGAATTTTCAAAGTTAACTGTTACATCTCCATCTAAAATGGGAAAGAAACACCTAGATGTCTAACTTGATGGCTTTCTTAAAATCCAGCTTCCCAGTTACCAGGATAGTAGGATCTGAGTTCGTGTTTCTATCCCTGGAGCCGAATCACCATTTCATTAAATAATTTATCTACAATGAAAGAGCTAGAAAATCCTTAGTCTTGAGAGAAAGCAGCTGAGGAGGGAAAATTCATGTGCCATTTCAAGGCAGTGGGACTGATTATCCTAATTGCACAATACCCCAGGGCAGTAGAGTTCCTGTGTTCTTGTGCTTAGGTTTTGTTGAAGTCAATATTTATGTGTTTTTCTTTGTCATCCAGAAACTGAATGGTGAAAGGAATGATCTGAAAAATGAAATAAACATTTTAACATGCACCAAAAACACAAGGTGTATGCAAATACACAAATAACATGAAATGTAATTACACATACAAACAATTAGAGGTGGAACAGGAAAGTTTCCAAGCACCACTGTCTGCAGAATGTATTACATATGCGGTGTATTAACTTCACACAGTAATGTATCTGCCACTCTGTTTTTTCAGGGGGACAATGGTAGCACAGCTAAGTTTATTTTCATTGTCTTATTTAAGGAAAGATTAAAATGTACTCAGGTGATTGCTATATAGAATTACCCAAAAGTCCATAAGGTAGCCTAATAATAACTAGAAAACATTAGTCAAAAAAACATACATTGGAAAAAAAAATTACAGAGGAATTTTCTAAAATCATAGCTTATAATAAAACGTCCAATGTATTATCTAAATCATAAATAACTAATTTTAATCTTGGACTTCGATAATTCCTGAGCTTTTCTAAAGTAAAAGGGATCTTGTAGAAACTTCTAATTAGTGATGCTTGAAAGATTACCCTTACTCCATCTATGGAAAAATGGCACTATCATTGTAAAATAAAAATCAGTGAATTAAAGTTTGATACAGTAAGTTGAAGAAATGCGTGATTAGAGGTGGTTTTATGCAGTTGTTTATTAATTTTATTTTAACAGTCATTATAAAACAGAAAACATTTCGCAAGTTTTCTTTGCTTTGATTCAACAATAAAATTCATTGGCCTTCTTAACAACAACAACAAAAAGGCATGACCAGTAAAAAATAAATATCGTGGAATTATGTCATGCTCAAAATGAAAAGCAACTGTTTTTTAGTCAAGTAAACTACTAAGAACCTATAATCTGATTTCTGCAATAAAACTAAAATAGACAATCATTAAAGGAAATGCCACTGCCAGTAAATCCTATTTCAATAAAATTAAGGTAAGCAATTAGCTATAAAAGAAGAGGGTGGGTTACAATATGCCCAGATAAAATTAAAATGATGTAAGAATAGACAATTTTAGCCAGGGGCAGTGGAACATGCCTGTATTCCCAGGGGATCTGGAGGCTGAGGCTGAAGGATGGCAGGTTCAAAGCCAGCCTCAGCAACTTAGTGAGGCTCTAAGTAACTTAGTGAGACTCTGTCTTAAAATAAAATATAAAAAGGGCTGGGGATAGACAATTCCAATGAGATATAAAATATAAAAATAAAAAATTTAAAAACCAAATTTAAAATAACATAAAAACAAAAATAAAAAAATATATTATATAATATACAAAAATATAAAAAAAAATACTAAAGGGGTTGGGGATAGACAATTTCAAGTACAATATAAAACCACTTCTTTGTATAAAAATCTTCAGATTAGGCTGCAATTGTGGCTTAGTGATAGAGCACTTGCCTAGCGTGTGTGAGGCACTGGGTTCCATCCTCAGCACCACATAAATTAAATAAATAAGTGAAAAAGCATCTATTTACACCTAAAAAAATTTAAAAATTAAAAAAATCTTCGGATTTAAAAAAAATTTAAAAAAGCAAATAAATTTATGTGTATATTACTTGACTTTAGTTGGTAATAAATAGACATTAGAATCACGTTAATGACAATTTTAAGCAATTATATGAATACTCTTCAATAGGTTAAATAACTGATTATTGAAAAAATTTAGAACAAAAAAAGCTAGAGAGAAAATTAGTTTTGTCATATGAAGAAATTGGATTATCACATAATGAAAATAGTCAACAACATGGGAAGATACTTACTTTGAGGCATAAAATAAAACTAGTGCATATAAAAATAACTTTAAAAAAAAGAGACATGGTTGCAATAAATATGGAATTGAAGACTAAAACAGAAAAGAACTGAAGATACTAATCTATTAGTTCGCAGACTGAAAAGCTTTTCTAGTGCTGTGTCTTACAAAAGTCGTTTCAGCATTAAAATAAAATGAAATCCTTGACATGGAGCCTGTCTCTTAGCTAAGCCAAGGAAGGGGCTGGGCGATGCTGAGGCAAGCAGAGGTTGAGAAGCCGGGGTTTTCATATGCAAAGGAGCCAGAACTCAGAAATATCACTGAGCTTCAAGCAAAAAGAAACATAAAGCATAAACAGAAACCAACAGTTCTATAAGAGCATAAGAGTGTTTGAAGAGGTTTACCGCTTTCTGGTAAACAGAGGCATAGCAGGTAGAGTTAAAGGAGGTACAGGAGAAGGGAATCATGTATGACCAAAGGTAGGTGGCTCATCACCAGGGGGAAGCCACACCAGCAGAGAGGAAAGGAGGATGGCAAAAGTGCCCTCTAGGGAAAAGATGGAAGGAAAGAACCAGAATTAGGGACTAAACCTGGACTAGACCACACACAGGCTTCTCAGGAGAGGAGATTAACTGTTGAACTTTCAGAGTGAAGTTATAACTTGGTGTAAAGTAAGACAATCTAAAGGGAATAATAATAATAGCTGAGAGTGAGGTATGGGACAGGATGGGACGGGTCACACCCAGGGCAGCTGGAGGGACTTGAAAAGTCTAGCTGGCCCGTGTAATAAAAGGCATAATTGACAGGCACTGTCAAGAGCTATGGGAAGGTCAAGAAGATCAAGGCCAAGAATGAATCTTCACTGGCTGAGGCGAGGAGGCTGTCACCAGAAACGCAGCTTCTAGTCTCTCAGACTGAAATTCTCAAGATAATTGTTTTTTAGGAAAATGACAGAAAACTCTTTTCTCCAGCCTTTGACTGAAAGGGGGAAGAGCTCTATTTCCGATGGGCACCCCTGGGAACTTTCAAATATTAGATAATTTTTATAGTTCTATACAGGGACCAGGCAAAAGATGGGAAACAAAATTCAGTAAGTTTCTTATGTTTAGGTTAAAAATTGTCTCGTTCATTAATATTTAAAAACTTCTAATATTCAGCAATATACACATGTGAAAAAAGGTCGATAGAGTCAGATTTCTGGGAAATAAGTGCATGTTAATCCAAGAACTTTTAACTTGTGCTGCAAATCGTTTAACAGATTAGGCAGAATAAAACCAAGAGTACTAAGCATTTCTTTAAATTGACCATTGCTACTCGATTGCAGAAAAAGCAAAATCTTTTCTTCCTACAACTTTTAATTGGAAAAAAAAATTAAAGTCATAAATTTCACTTTTTTCCCTTTTTAAAAAATATTTTCAAATAAAAAATACCAAATTCATAGTCAATTTGTAACTCTGATGGTCAGTCTGCAGCTCTCGGTGGCCACTGAATTTCTCTACTGGCTGCAGAGGGGCTGGACATGACATGAATTTTGATATTGTGTGTCTACCTTCAAATTAAAAAGGCTAAGGATGTGCATTTTTAAAAAAATTATTATTTTTAAAAGTCCCAGACAGGAAATAAATAGCTTCAAGGTAACAGAAAATTGGGGAAGACATAAAGTTCATTTATAGAGTGAGAAAAGTTTGACAGGTCAGAAATTGAAATAAAATATCCAAATTGTGAGGGCTTAGTAAAAATGGAGCTATTCACTCCTGATTCCCCACCACCACCACTTTTTTTTTCTTTTTTTAAGAGGAGGAGTAAAACAGTAAAGCATTTCCCAGCTCCATTTTGGAATTATTCGGATGTTGGAAAAAACATGTCATTTATATTTGTATAGCAAATGCTAAAAAATGTTAAGTTCTTTGCAAAGGAACATTTATCAGGAAAAAAGAGAAATACTATTATTTTGATTCCAAATAAATATCATGTTATTTGTTCCCATAAAAGTTCATTGATAATACTCTACCTCTCCAAGAGAAGGGGGAGGTAAGAAATAATTCAACAAAGTTGCAGCAAATGTCTTCCAGTTTTACTAGTAGTAGGAACAAAGAGAGTCACTCAGTATGAATTATTTGGGGAAATAACCAATGCTGGTGTCTTCTCTTATAGAGTCAAACTCAGTTTCTATCTAATCCTTAACTTTTTTTTTTTTTTTTTTTAGCATGATTCCTCTTTGGGAGGATAGAGGAAAAACAGAAAGAAGGTTAAAAGAAAAGGGGAAAAAAACCCAAAAACTGGAAATAGCATTGTTAGCGACAAGGTGAGAGGCAACTAGAAATGAAAAGAGAACAATACTAAAGAAATTACTTGAAAGAAAGGATAAAGCAGGTGAATTTGCCCATTCATGCCTTATTGATTGCACATTTCAACATAACACAAAGAGTAAAAAACAAGAGGCATGTTTGCTATCTCTTCTTTTATTGATAGTCCTAAGAAACAAATAAGGCATGAAGAAGCTAAAACTGCATTAACTCAAGCAATCGAGTTTAACTTGAGAGAAAGTCTCAAGTTCAAGAACAGAGAAGAGAAGGAGTCATGCAAGCATTGTACTTTTATCTGCATCCCGAACCACTGATGCACCTGGGCCGAGTTTTGGGTTCAGAGTGACCTGCAGTGAAGTATTCACTAAAAAAGTCACTGGATTTCTTTTCTATACTACCTCAGATTCTCTGCTGCCCACAAAGGCATTCCAAATCAGAGCAGACTCTTGCAGCATTACTTGCTGCTTTATCCGACACAGAGCATGATCATTTTAAATTTCAAGAGACTATGAAAGAAGGACCAGAGGATGAAGGGTCAGTTATTTTAAAGGTATGGTTAATGTCCTCACCTTGATCAGGCAACTCCTTAAGCACGCCCCTTCTTATCAGCTCCTCTCTACTTTGTCTTGTGGATATCTTCCTCTCTAATACTTTTGAAAAGAATAAGCACAAGTAAGAATCAAGTCATTGCTTAAAATAATTATGAACATCATTCCAAGTAGAATTGAATACACTCATTCTGTTCCCATGAGGGCTTCAACCCCAGCCCCGCAAAAGGTATGACTGGAGCTGAACCAACTCAGGACAAAGACAAATGACTCCACATCATGATCTTTAGCCCAGCCACCATCCCTGGTCTTTCAAATGGTAATCTGTGGCTAAGGATCCAGACACAATATTCCATACCAACTACAGAGATAGAGGCCACTTCGTGCTTCGAAATTGCTTCTTTTAGTTATGAGTCGTTTCAACACATGTGCTTTTATGGATATATAGTTATGAAGAGGATACCTATGTTTGCTTTTAAAAACAACAAACCACAAACTCCCAGTAGACATTCAGGTAACTCATCAGAACCGCAGTGAGAAGGGAAGACATTTCTAGAGTTTTCTCTCATACCATCTATGAGAGAAAGCGACTTGCACTTTTGTAACTCTTTGCACTCCTATATTCACAAATTCCAGGGGCTTCTGGTATGACTAACCCAAGTCTTAGGAAGGTAGAGAAGGGTGTTAAGAATTGGCAGCTTTCATAGGCACATGGGGGGACACCGTCATAACACCAAGTCTTCCATCTTTTGGAAGGGATCTGTATTCCTGGCACAACTTCAGAGTGGAGCTCAAGGGCACGGGGGCAGGACATCCATAGTGCTCACCTTGTATGTGCATAATTTTGGTTTCTGTACCCTACAATGTCTATGGAACCATTAGCTCCCTATCCTGGTTTCAGGGACAAAGTCACATTACCTACCAATCCTGAGTCAACTTCCCCCTGAAGTGTGTTCTGAAAAACTCTATTCCCTCCAGATGCTTTGTTCAAAAAAGTACCTTGTCACAGCAGAAAAGGGCAAGGTAAGGGACACTTTGAGGAGAAAGAAAGGTATGTTGGGAGAGACTGGGCAGCCCAGGAAGCCTTAAAATCTGACTTCTATAAGATTCCCATTCCTGGTTTTATAATCTGCAAATCCCAGAACTACTCTGGACAACACAATTTCAGCTGAACCAAAGGCAAACTAAAGTCCATTACCCTCAGACTTGCCTTGACAAACACAAAAAGAGCATGTGATACACTAAAAACATGTTTTCTCCTGTGCTCCAGGTGGCCTGAAGCAAGGACACTGATGGGAGAGAGGGGAGGGCAGACGAGCAGTAAGCTTAGTATCAAGTACATGAAAGTCTCCCTAAGTGTTTACTAATGGCATGAGCCCCAGAATAGCAACACTTAGTCTCTCTTGAAGAAATTGGATTTGTTCCCCTTTCTGATAGCCAGCAGTTGTGTGTTTCTTTTTCTAGAAAGTTCTGATAGAACTTGAGATTTACCCCTGGTTCCACATGCCAATTCATGTTTTCTCCTTCCCTGCTCTCTGACTTCATTTATATGTATAGTGTCTATGCTCCTTATTGTAAGTCCTGTCAAACATATTTTGGATAGAATCAAAAGAATGACAATGAGCACATTATTTTCGAGGAGACATACATGAAAGCTTCCCTTCTCTTCCTTTAGGTTACTCACCCACCCGGTTCCCTACCCTCTCTTCCAGAAGCAACTAACCACAGCTCACTCAAAGGTTGATGATTTCAAAGGACAAAGTTAATAGGGCAGGAGGCGAGGGATTCTTCCACTGGCTTTCTTTCTGATACAAAGAGTGCTGCTGTTGAAATGCAGTTTCAATTTGCTCAGACTCTTGTCTAAAAGGAGAGAACACTTATCAGTGCAGGAAGCCACACTACAGCACCCACAATGACAGGTGGAGCATTGCTGAGATTTTGCAGGTAGTTTAGAAGAACCCCAGACACTGCAGCCTTCCAAAAATTGCCCACGCCCATTCAGGCTCGCCTGGGATCTGAGGGCGGCACGATTCTAGAGACCTCTTGCAACAGGTGTCTCAGCCCCCATTCCTGGGATGGGCCAGAACCTCCCGGCTGTTCTGCCCTAAACTTGTGGCTGGGGGTGGCAACTGCAGCAGCATGTGCTGCTGGTCCCAGGGTCGGTCACATTCTGGCAACCCTAACACACTGCCAAATCCAAATGCAGCCACTCTTGCTGTCTTTCTTATCTTCATCCACCCTCTGCTCAGGAAAGTCAGTAAAGTCGCCTAAAACACAGTGCAGTTATCAGAAGTTCTGGATGCTAGTCCCAGAACTTCTGCAACAAGCTGGGTGACCTTGGGCAGTCACTTCAATTTCCAGGGCCTCTAATTCATGATCTGTAAAACGAGGGACAAGAGTCAATGACCACTAAGGACAAATCGTCCAGCTTAGATGTCATGTGAGCTTGTATCATGAATGAAGGCCATTCTGTAATCTCTGCTATGGGCACCATAGAAAACTTTCATTCTTACACCAAAAACTCACCTCATAGCCTGGAACGTATTTTGTTTACATTTCTGCCTTTCTGTTATGGATCCCAGAGGATTTTTTAGTTTGAATTTTGGGTTTTCTCTTGCTTTAATTCTAACTTAATCTTTGCTTTATAAAAAAAAAAAAAGAAAGAAAGAAAAAGAAAATCCTACCTTTTTTTCTATATAAATCCTGGAGCTTTGAGGCTGCAGCGTTGGTTGGCTTTCTGCCAGCAATCAAAAGCAACAGCTTTGTTCTTCTGCTCTACCTCCTATAAACAGGCCCTGATAGGAAAATGCCATTGGCTATTTGTTTGGTCTCTGGCTGAAAGCATTTTTAACACATAATGCAGATAACTGTGTACAGGGCCAATGAGAACAAACTGGAGCCCACTGAGCCTGGAAGGTATGTTGTTGGGCACAAAATTCCAACCCCTGCTCTCCCTGAAGTACAAGTATCTCATTCTTCACCTTTTAAAATATTTGCCCTGTGTTTATATAGTGTCTGTGTGTTTGCAGAGCACATTCACTGGGCACTTTGACGGGTTCTACATTGGAACGAATCTGGGAGGTCATTCTAGTTCAACGTGCCTCAGAAGACAGGGGTATCTCAGGAACGTTTCTGACGTGTGCTCACCTGCTCTCAAATCTTCAGGGGCAGGATGCTGACTTTCCCTCAATGTCCAGTTCAGTTATGGATCACCCTCATTTTTAGGGAGTTGTTCCTCATGAGATATCTAAATCTCAATTCTCTGTAACTTCTGCACATTAATCAAACACAGGTTTTTGGTAGCTCTAGACTATTTAGAAGTTGTTTGTGGTCCTAGGAATTGCAGCAGCTGCTGTTTGACTTTGAAGCTCATTCCAATCTGCACAGCTACCTTAATAATATGAGTGGGGGTCCCCTCAGCTGTAGCATAAACAAAATATTGCCAGGGATGAGAGTTGAGGGCTGCAGGTCACTAGATGTAGTAGCAGTCTCTCTCCAGGAAAAGGACCGTCACTTGTTGAGTAAATAAATGGCTCAGAGTTACTCTCTTCTCTCCTAATTGAAAAAGCATGAGCGATTCTTATATTGGGATCAAGCAGAATCATGGTTTCTGATTCTTATTCTGCACTGGATGAATTAATGCTTTGACATTTCAATCCTGATTACGACAACGCTAATTTGGATTCTCTCTGAAAGTGAAGGAAGCATGATCCCCATGTTCCTGACTTCAAGCTTACACTCCAGTTTTTCAAGTGTTGGAAAAGGATCAATCTTCCCCAAACTCCCAGCCGCTGTCCACCTCAGTTTGAACAGCATCTCAACTCCTCAGCATGGGTCACTAAGGCAGCCTCCCGAGGATATCCCTTCTCCCACCTGCCTGTCTCCCAACCACCCCTTCCTGGCTATTTCCCTCTAGTTCCTCCAGTCCCTGCTGTCCCCTCTTTCCCCAGGCATGTCTCTTCATGGTGGCCTCTGTCTTTACCAAGAGACTATTTCCCCAGCTTGACTCACTCCATCATGGCCTTCAAGTTCTGCTCAAAGGTCCCCTTATTAGAAACCTTTCAAGGTATACCTGAATTGCTACCTCCCCTTCTCATCTTTATCCATCTTATTTCCTTGCAAAATGTGTCATCCTCTGACACGTATAAGTATAATCTCAGAGAACCAAAACTCTGCTTACTGCTGTGTCTCCAGTAGTGACTCGTACGCAGGTTACTGGCACCCCGAATATACGTGTATCTGTTAAATAAGTGAATAAAAGAAAATAGGCTAGGAACTATAACGGTCTCACTTTCTGTCCCTTCCCAACCTCCCGTTTCGGAGTTAGCAAGGGTGGCTTGTGGAAAACTTTAAGGAACAAGAGCTTTCTGTCTTCTCCCTCCTTTGCTCTTTGGCTGAGAAGGTCTAAGGGAAAATTCTGGGCTTTCTGTCCTATGGATCTTCTGAAAAAAGGCTCTGTATGCACTGAAGAAGGGAGCCCATAGTGTGCACAGGACAGACACCAGCGGCTAGCAGGGTGTAGCACACGACTGGCTGGGCGCTTCATAAATTAGAAGTGATTTATGATGTCCTGGGCATGAAGTGGTAGCCGTGGAGCCTGCATTCAGGGAAAAAAAAAAAAAATGGCCAGGGCATATGCCACTGGCTCTGTTCAGTGGATACTTGGCCTGGATTTCATATTACTCTGGAAGTATCTGTGGGAGTAAATCTTGTAGTCAACAAGTCACTTGTGTTTTCATTTGGCGAGGAAAGAGAGTCCTAATTCTCAATTCCAACACCATTTAATGACTGAACAAAATAGAAGAGCAAATAGAGACTATTAAATAAGCGTGCCTTGTTATCTTCTTGGTTCTGAGTAGTGAATGGCCTTACTGTAAAAGTGTGACAGAAACACAGAAAACCACTTGTCCTGGGTTGAAAGTGCTCTATAAGAGCTGGCTTGGCTTTACTCCTCTTCAATAGCAGTTACAGAAAATAGAACGTCAGAAAATGGTCTGCTTTCTAAAAGACTCTTCACGGAGGCTAGGTGGCTAGTCGTTTAAAGAAATAACCACCCCAGCGCCACCCAACAGCCACATTGAAAAAGCCTTCCAAAACATCTC